GCCTTCTTGTACCTCTCGAGACGAAATGCTTTCTTCCGAGGCGTGATCTCCATATCGGAGAACAAGCCTCGGTGAATCAGTCCGAGCGTTTCACTACTCTTTCCTTGCGTAATGGCGACCACTCGAGCATGCGGACCGGTTTCTCAGGACAACTCGTCGAGGCGAGGGGAAACAACAATGCATTGAAGGGAAAGATGAGTGGAGGCCGGGAGGGGGGGGGGGAGGGGGGGGAAAAAAAGCAACAAAGAGTATATGCGTGATTTTCTGTATTTGTATGACGCCTGAGGCAGACTGCGTCCGTCTCTGGCCATGAGCAAGGACATTCGGGAAGGAGGGGGCGCGAGCGCGACTGGGCGCGCAGTCCGGCGCGAGAGGAGCATATTGCTTTCCCTCGGAGGAGGAGGGCCAATGGGATTTAGTTGACCATCGGCGCATCGGGAGGAGGCTGCTGGTTGACAAGCTCAGAGGGGGCCGGCCCAATCATGGAGACATTCTCGCCCTTCAGGAGGATGCGACCTGCCCGGGAGAGGGAGGGGACGGGGGGGGGGGAGGAGAAGGCAAGCAGCAAGCAAGCAACTCGTCAGGGAGAATTGCAGAGGAGGCGGAGAGAGGGGGAGGGGCAAGGGGGAGGGATTGCAGAAATACGAAAGAAAGGCGAGGAGGGCGAGGAGGGCGAAGAGATGACACGCCATGACGCACCGAGAGGGGTAGAGGACTCGGGGCCGCCATTCTCACCGCGAGGGATGCGAATCTCAACGGCTTCGTCCAGGATGAGGTTCATGAACTCATCGAAGCCAACCAGGATACCCTCGATACGCTGGTCGCTGCGCTCATGCAGCCAAATTTGCAGCCGAGTGTTCTGCAAATAGACAGAGGGGCATGACTGTCAGGAGGACGTGGATATTTGTGTACAATTGGGAAGACGCGTGTTTTTGGCACGCAGGCTGGCGAGGGGGTGGGAAGAGCGTCGTGCCGGGAAAGAGTGATGCTCCCGGAGGGGCCAGGAAAAGGCGCGAGGCATGCCGGGACGCACCCTTGAAGATGGGATGGCGGGGGGAGTGCGCTATCAGCCCGGCCAGGGGGGGCGGGAGCCCGGGCCGGGCAGGGCAAAGGAGAAGGCCAGGTTGGCTGCGTGGGTTCGGACTCCTATTGTCGGACGGGGGGGGGGGGGGGGGGGGGGGGGGGGAGGGAAGGAGAGGACAGGAGAGAGAGAGAGAGAGCAGGACGCACATGCTGGAGGAACCGGAAGGTGAGGTGCTACAGTGCCGGCCAGATGGGGAGGGAGGTATGTCAGACGATGTTCCCCCCGCTGTTGAAGAGGGTGAAAAGGAGGCAGGGGCGCACGATGGGCTGGATCATGGTCTTCTTAACGTGCGACATGGTGACGGTGGGTGCGTGGGTGCGTGCGAAGACGGTCTAGCGTCGTCGGGGAGATACACAAGCAGCTGTGCCAGAGGGGGAAGGAGGAGAAGGGGAGCAGGCGAGAGTCAGAGCCTGCAGGGAGGAGGGAGGGGGAGGGAGGACGAAAAAAAAAAAAGGCAAGAGGGGGAAGGGGCGCGGAGGTACGAGGGAGGGGGTAGAAAGGGGGAAGGGGGGAGGGCGCGGATGGGGCGAGCTGATTTCTCCAGGGCGGGTAGCCCCGGGCCGCCGCGCCGGGGCGGCACTTATAAACTGTGAAGCTCCCCGACCGCGTTGGCACATGATTTCCAAATGAGTGCCAACGGTGGGGTCGATCAGCGCCCACGCAGAGTCCAGACGGGAGGGGGGGGGGGACCAGCCGGTCGCCGGCCAGGAACGTGGGCCTTTTTTCAGGCAGCCAGGTGTGCCATCTGTCGCAGACATCTTGGAAGGGGTCCCCCGCCGCCCGTCTGTACAACATGCCAGCCATCCCTTCCCCTCTCTTTTTTTTTGGGTATGCCATCTGGGTCCCTCACTCTCCGGTGCACGGTGTGCTATTCCCCGCAAAGACGCAGCATATGCGGGAATTGGCCCCTCTCTCCCCTCGCCCCCCCCCTATGCCATCTTCACGTTCGGTCACGTATAGCACACACTCCTGGGTGGCAAAAAAAAGGAAGAAAAAGGAAAGGTCTATCGCGGGAATAAAAAAAAGGGAAACAAAGGCCATCCATGGGGCGAGATCTGGGCGCGGCAAAGCATGACCCGGTTGAAATATCACTCATCCTTGGGGGAGCTGTAGTTCTCCAGGACATGGTCGATGGCCGCCGAGAAGGCCGCGAAGCCTGCACACCCCAAAGCCATAGCCTGGGGACCGGCTGAGGCAGGAGGGAAGAAGGAAGTGTCAGTGCTTTGTCATGATTATGCCGATGGCTGGAGGACATCATCCCCAGAGAGGCAATGATCAAATGTGCGAACATGACGGGCGGGCGGGCGGGCGGTCGCGCAGGCGGGTCGGCATGATGGATATGTACCGTTGCGCGCCAGGAACGCGCCAGTGAAGCAGCCAGCCGCAACGGAGTTCCCAACATCATGCTCAGCACGGTATGAGGCAATTAGACACTCGGTGCCAGCATAGATGGCGCCCACGTAGGCGAAGTTGCGAGCGTAGCTGGACGAGGTCCGGTACATGTCGCGGGCAATCTCACGGAACTTGAGCGGCTCGCCAGCCACGCCCACTGGGACCGGGGATGTGGAGGACATGAACAGACCGAACGCGCCAGGAAGGCGGGGGGGGGGGGCAGGGGTGGGGGGGTGGGGGGGGGGAGGGGGGGAGGGCGAGATTCGATAGAGGGAAGGGTAAGACAGCAGGAAGGCACGGAGATTGGTCAGAGAGAGGGCAGTGCGAGCGCACCCATCACGCCACTCATGCCGAACTTGAAGACGCAAGTCTCCGTGGCATTTTGGATCATCTGCGTGATGATGGGGTTGTTGAGCTGGTCCATGGCGGCGGAAGAGGGGAAAGAGCGAAGAGGGGGTCCAAAACTTCGTGCAAGAGAGCGAAGGAGGCAAGTTGAAGAAGAAAGAGGCGGGGGAGAGGGCACGGAGTGTCGGCGTGGGGTCGAGGTGGGGAAGAGGGGAGGAGGAGTTCATGGCCCGGGCGCCGGGCCCCGGGGAAGACCAGGGCTGGGGGCTGAAAATGAGCCCGATGTGGTCCCCCCCCCCCGCCATCTGTCGACGACCGGGGCTGGCCGCTCCCCGTGCTTGGGCCCGGCCC